AAGCTCTGATACCACTATGTTGGGAGAAAACAAATAGAGGGCCAATTCGAAATATCTGAAACCAGCGCAGAAATAGCGAAAGTAGTTTATTCTCCATTTTTGTGTGAACCTGTTAGGAAACAATTTAATAGAGCACAATATATTCTGAAAATAATGATCCAACAATCACACAACAAGGCGACAACAATTTTTAATGTGAAAAACCTTCCCAATGTGGAAAGGAAAAACCACGGGACCGTAGTCCACCAAATATCTCCACTATCAACAAATAATGGGTATAAAAGAGTTCTCTCCAGATAGAACTAGAGGCAAACAATCAAGAGCAACTTACAAATAAGTTTTCTTGGCAACCAAAGATCTAGATACAAAGTTTAAGAAAGATCTCACAAAAATAGGTACTGTTCACAGGCCAAAAACCAGTAGTAGAATGCTCCAAATTTGATCTCCACCGTCCAGAATTCAGAGTCTTGAGTTGTGAACTTGCCTACCTAATTTTAGCTCAATCGGACCACGAATGCTTGTCAATTGGATAGCTTGATCAAAGCTGGACAAAATTTCACCAAAACCCTTGGCCTCTCCTTTCTTCTCTGTTTTAGTGGCTGCTATATCTCTCTGGGTTTGTAATACTAATGGGCTAGAACATATGGGCCCAAAACATTTCAAAAAACATAACCTTTGCATGTGGGCTTTAGAACTCACATGGGTTTTACTAAATATTTTGGGCCATCCTCCATATACGAGGGAAACGCAACCCAAAACAACAATTTGGGTTCACGTTGATTTCCATAGTCCTACATCCACTATGATTTCTTGTGTATGCAATATCCAGGTTCTCATTGAATTCCGTAGTCCCACATCCACTATGATTTCTTGTGTATGCGCGAGAGAGAACAAATTAACCTTGATAAAGAGACTAAACAACAGTAACACTACTGCGATTTTGTCTGTAATAGAGCTTGGACCATTTGATGGAGAAAGGGGAAGGTTATACCAATAAGCCACGTATAGTAGCTTTTTGGATAGATATGTATTTCGGCTTACTCTATCAATCTCATTGTTTGGCCCAAATAGCACTACTCTAAAGAAATATATTGTTCGAGACGCAATAAAATTTGAACAATATAGATAAACCATATACCACAAAACACGCACTAGTAAACCCTACAGTGATTATGGGTTGCCTTCTTGAGCAATATAGCCTGGATTTAGAATATGATATGGTTCAGTAAAGTTGCTTTAAGAGAGGAAGTTGCTTCGATAAATACAAGGTTTTAAGGTTTTTCATATATCTAAAAGACTGAAACCATTGACTCCTTACATTGTGTTTGGTTAAGGGATTTGGAAAATGATTTAGAAAGAGAAATAGAAAAGTTAGGTGAAATATGAATAAAATATACCTACATTTCACATAATTTCACACATCTTTCCCCTTTCTCTTTCTAAATTCCTTTCCAAATCTTCCAATTAAACACAGTATTTCTTTGTTCCCATGAGATTGAAAAAATGCATAATGATTGGTAATGCAAATAAATTTTTAAAGATATCTTCTGAAGAGCATGTGATTACAAATGATTTGAACACAACCAACATAACAACTTGTACCCATTAGAACATCAAACAAAATTAGTATATAGAAGATAATCTCACTAACCATAAAGAACAAATCTGAACCTGACCCCGTATGACCATTCTATAAAAAATTCATGTTGTAAAGATCATTCATTGGCTACAAACCTTTGCATGTAGATCTAGGTCACACTTATTAACCAGCAACTATGGTGCTATCTACTAATATTTTATAAGTTTGAAGAACACATATATTTTCTACATTTTTTTATTCTAAAAATATTCTCCTAAATTTATTAAACATCACATAATAACACATATCTATCGAACAACCAAAGACCTTACGGAATTCAAACACTTTCATCCATCAAAATATGATTACTTTTTTAACAATTCCACTACTGTGGCCGGTTCAATATTTTTCTCCTTCATTACTTTCTCATAAATGCCGAGTGAGACATTTTGTGAGATTCAAATCAAGAAAATCATGAAAACTAACATCCTAAACCCATTTTGTACAATTACACTAATTACACTAGTCTTACATACAAAATCAACCAATATACCAGTGGCTTTAGAATATTTTTATATTTGTAGCGTAGAATTCCTTCGTGAATGAGGGAAAAAGCATAAAAGCCTATAGTACGAATTGTAACATTATGAGAAAGTCCACATTAGTAATTTCAATTTCATGAGAGAACTCACATTTGACACTCACCAAATTACACACACGTATTTATGCTTGCCCTTTTATGTCATTTACACTAGGATGGGACCTTTGGGTCCATAAGAAAAAAGGGAGGGACAAATAGTTCATAAGATCATTATTTAGGATTTATTGGTGCTTCACACTTTTTATTATTATAATAATAATCTTAAATTAAATTATTAAAGAGGACATCAATCATTTTAGGACACCCCATCTCACAATTAAGTCCACACACCCACTAAATCATGAGATATGATTTATGAGAGTACCCACCTCCATCATCACCCATCCATCTTTCCTAAATCCCACCCTCAAAACCTTGACAACCCTCCAACAGTGATATTCCGATGGCAACAGTAGTAACCATTTGATTACACATACTTCTCCGGCAATGGCAATGAGTAAATTTTTTTTCGACAACCACAATTTCATGATACGAGAGGAGTACAACAATGTAAGTTTAGAGGAGGTACATAGATTTGATGGTGTTCTTAGTTCGGAGAAGATTGGCCTTGCAAGGAGAATTTCATGAAAAAACATAGCAAAAGTGCTGAAAACTACTCATATTTTTTTGGGTACTGAACTCCCGAACATATGAATGAACAATAATCTAATCGGGGAGAGAGAGAGAGAGAGAGGGAACACGTTAGTGAGAGAAGAAAGGGAGCGGCAGAGGTGGTGACTAGGGTTTCATAGTGGATCTGGATCATATTCGATCCGTTTATGTTTTAGTGTTCGCTGGCCGTTGCTGCTCACGGCACCGCGCTGGTGCTGTCGATTTCCGTCAAAGACGGTGCTAGGGTTCAAAAGAGAAGATGAAGAAAAGAGATAGATGAAGAGAGATGAGAGAGATCGGTGGTATGAGACAGTGAAAGAAGTACGGCGGCGACAGGTAGTGGTTGACGATGATGGCAAATCGGGGTAGTAACGGTAGATGAAAAGAGAGAGAGAGAGAGAGAGAGAGAGAGATGATGGAGTTTGGTTAGCTTAGGGTTTGGTAAATTATATATTATATACCTGGGTAGTTTGATCATTTGGCAGGACCTTACCCTTATAGACAAAGTATTTTAGACGATGGATCTTTAAGTAAAGAAAATTTAAAATTGGATTTTTGGACCGAGTGTCCTATTAATTTAACATAAAATTTTAATTTTAATTATTTATTTTAATAATCTTGACTTTATCGTTTTATAAAAGTGTTCTTGAATATTTATATATACACTAATTTAGTTAAATTATTTGTTGATTTTGTTAATTTTAGTTATATTGTGCCATGTAGTTATTATCTATTTTCTAAAAACTTAACAAAAAAAGTATTGAGTTTTATTGTTTTAATCAATCGATATCAATTTGAACGCTACACGTGTATGTAAATCACTTCTAGAAATATGATATCTGACATAAAATTACAATGGAGTTAATTTTAACTAATGTAATAATATTTTATACTATGGTATGTGTTACAAAAGAATAATATTAATTTCAATTTAAAATAAAATTTTAATTTTAATTATTTATTTTAATAATCTTAGCCTTATCGCTCTATAAAAGTGTTACTGGAATATTTATATATAATAAATTTAGTTAAATTATTTATTTATTTTGATAATTTTAGTTCTATTGTGTTATAAAAGTGTAATTATAATATAATGATTTTATGTGATATATATTAAATTGTAAGATAATAAAATAAACACTCATAAAAATAATAGTTAAATTAGAAAGAGAATTAGTAATATAAAACTAAAAGTGATTCTAATTATTTAATTTAATTCTTATTTTTATATTTATTTAAAAATAAAAATATGTAGAAATAGAACTACACAATATAAATGAGGCTTTTCCCAATATAATTTATTTAAAAGATTAAATATAAATATGTTGTGATTGGATTAAGAAAAAAAAACATTAAATATGTAAAGTATTGATTTTTTTTCTTTAATATTCTTTTTGAATTATTAACACATATTGTATATAGGTATATAAATTTTAAATTAAATATAAATAATTTCATGTTAAATAAAAAATTAAATATAAATTAATAAATATAAATTAATATTAAGGCATCAATAAGATAGATTCTATATAAAATTGATTATTATAATTGAAATTAAGTTTGTGTAGAATTTTATATGTAAATAAAAAAAGACATGCTATTATGACTTTTTTAGAAACTTAACCAAGGAAAAAACAAAACGCTTAACCAAGGAAAAAACAAAACACTTTTATATATATATATGATATGATATGATATGATTAGGTAAAAATAGTTTAAATAAATTAAAAAAAATTTCTAAGAAGTTAACGAAATTTTACTTTTTAATTATTAATTTTTAATGTGGGTGAATTTTTCATTGAATTTAAATTTTAATGAAAAATTGGTTAAAACGGTATTATAACCATTTTATCAAATCAATATCAAATGAAAGAAAAATTATATTTTTCATCAAATTAATTTTTTCTTTTATCCTTTTATCAAATTCTGCAAGGGCCGTCAGTGGACGACTTGCATATCAATCAAATTTTGAGGTAAATTAAGAATTTTATAAAAAAAATTTAATAAAAATTTTCTCTAAACAAAATGACTAGTTAATTTAATAAAAATTTTAAATTTATCGTTAAAATGCATCGTATCCTATCAATTTTTTACTCAAACTTGACCAAGAAGGAAGTCAATTTACCATTAAAATGCATCCTATCCTATCAATTTTTTACTCAAACTTGACCAAGAAGGAAGTCAATACGAAATCGGGAGAAACCTAATCCAAAGCATCGCATGGTGACGATCGGCTGACAAAAAATCATACATTGATGGTGCACACACCAAATACATTTCCAATTGGCGGGAAGACACATTCATCGTCCTCATTGTTCTATACAAAACATTCACAGAAAATATATATATACACATTACCTAAATCCATAAGCGTTTTGCGAAGGAGGAAAAGTCCGCAGCAGAGATTAGGGCATCAATGTTAACCGGACGAGAAAGCTTGATCCGATTAATCGGCAAGCGCCGGAGGTTCCTCCCCAACCGTCAATCTCTTCTCTCCACCCCCCACCAGGCACTCTCTCTCTCTCTCTCTCTCTCTCTCTCTCTGTCCCTCTACAATGATGTATACATATATATGTAAAAAAAAAAAGAAGCAACAATCAATTTAGGTGTTTTGTGATTTTCTAATCATTGATGGTGTTGTTCTTTGATTTTCTAGGGCTTTTTGAATCTCTGCGAAGGTAAAAATGGTGGGAATATGACTCTCAGTGGAGAAGGATCATCAGAGCAAGGTTTGGATGGTGGAAGTGATAATAAAACTGTGGTTGAGATGTGCGCTCCTCGTGATTGGGTTACTTGTCCTGTTTGTGGTAACACAGTTTGCGGCGAAGATTATATGATTAATTCTCATTTGGGTTTGTATATCTACTTCTGATGTTTGTTTTTCAATAAATATGATTCATTAGGTATGTTGCTGTAGTGGATGTCATGTTTTAGTTGTTATTTGCTAATGTTTTTTTTAAAGATGTCATTGTATTAGTAGTAATTAAGAGCTAGTGGTCTTGATTGGAAAGTATGCTCTCAGTGATTGTATAGTCTGTCTATTGAGATGAACAAGCGGGCATATATGCAGCTATACGGAGCAGGGATGAAACCAGGATTTCATTTGGGGGCCAAGAACACGTCTATTAAAAAATTTCAACTAAGGCCCCGTTTGGGGACTTACTTTTTTAGTTAAAAAGTCAAAAAGTTACCTTTTTAGCCAAAAAGCCAACAATTCATACCAAAAAGTCAAAGATTCTATTTTCTCTCTACTTTTTGCACATATTTTCGTAATTAGCCAAAAAGTCATCCCAAACATATAAGTTTTTTTTACTTACTTTTTTAGCTAAATAGCCAAAAAGTTACTAAATTAGCCTGTTCCCAAACGAGGCCTACAACTAATACCCTTTTTCCAACTTCTAGATAATTAGTGGGTTTTTTTTTTTTTTTTTGGTGTTAGTGTTTTTTTTTTTCTTTTCGTGTGCGCGTGCGAGCTATTTTTGCTTAGTAAGTTTCAAGCAGAAGCAGTACCAAATGGTCTGACACAAACTACCAAAAAAAAAAAAAAAATTGTAAGTAGCTCATATAAGCTACACCAAATCCACGTGGTCTTAATTTAAGGCACAACCCTTTTCCAACTTCTAGATAATCATTTTTTTTTTTAGCTTATTTGATCTATTTTTGCTTAATAGGCGGTAAGCAGAAGCAGTACCAAATAAACCAAACCAAACCAAACCAAACCAAACCAAGCCATAAGTAGCTCATATAAGCTATAGCAAATCCATGTGGTCTTAATTTAGGTCATAAAATAGCACCAAAAAAATTATTTTTGTAACCCATATCAAGTGATTTATCAATCAAAGTGGTACTCGATGACTATTCATGTCATATAATCCATTTATGAAGCTGCACCAAACTTTTGAACAACTTTCCTTTTTCAATCAAAGTATTTGTGAGAAACTTAACTTTTATCTTGTTTTATATTTTAGTTTAGCAACATTCATAGCTGAACATGCATATTTGTAATCTTTTGTAGAAACTTGAAGTGTAAGCACATGTCTAACAAACATGTAAAGTAAGTAGATCTTTCATTTTCTTGTTTTGACCAACCACAAACACCATTTAGAAATAGTTGGCAATTCCAAAAACCTTAAGTTTTTCATATCTTACCCTCATAATGTCTTAGTTGCCCTCTCAAATCCTCTACCTCCAGCTCTGTGAACTCTAGAGGGTAAAATTTGTCTAAAATCCTGGAAATATGTTCAATTTTGAAGGATTTGCACATATCTCTAGGATCTAGTGCAAAGCTAAGAGTAAGCAACTCCATTGCATTCTCACTAAAATGTTATTTAAGTCTTTCAATAAAAATATCTATTCTATATTGATGCTCTACTGTGATTTCATCTTATTGATGGCAAGCCTAACCTTTCCTTGCAACATAATAAGTAGCTCATAATTAAAGTGTTTTCATTCCCAAGCTTCTAAGTTTGTATTGTGTTTCCTTTTTATTTTGACTAGAGTCTTATGGATTCTTTCTTATGGTTTTCAATCTATGGTTTCAGACACATGCCTAGCAAGAGGAACCAAACGTAAATTGAAGCAGCGCACACTTCTTCAGTTAAACTTCTGCTTACAATCAAAAGTTAAAACTCACTCGAGTGATTCAGATCATGTAGGGGCTAATGTTGTTCAGAAGGGTCCTGATAACATATTATGTGATACCATTCACAAATTGGATGGCTTTGTTGATGGTGATGAAAAAGCCAGTATACAGTGCAAATCACTCTTAAATTCAGAGTCTATTTTGTGCAGTGATGGTTCAGTCGAAAACCTGATCAATGGTGACGTTATCAACCACAGGGTTGGTTTGCCATCATTGCTTCCCAAGAATGAGATGCCCAAATATGAAATGGCTGAAACTATGGATGACATATGTGGGAGGGTCCTCGAAACTTTCATTGTTGGCCGTAAATTCAGTGATGATGCAGAGTTAAATCATGGGAAAAGTATCACACTTTTGAGGGATCCTGATAATATTAAGGATTGCAATGCTATCAAGGTTCCATCCCTTTGGCTTTGCCATCCACTTGACTAAGTTTTGTAGATTTATTCACCTTAAAAACATTGCATGGTCCTTTTGAGTCAGGTTCTTTCTGCGGATTCTGGATGCGTTAAAGTACTTGGTTTTCTCCCTCGACAGTTGGCTCAATATCTGTCTCCTTTAATGGATAACTACTGCTTGAGTTTTGAGGTATTGTAACTATTTCAATGGAATTAATATTAGTCATTGATTTGCTGCATATTTTTTATTTAGATTATGCTTTCATCTCTCTCCCACCTTGTTATCTTGTAAGGACGTTCTGTTATCATTTTGAGCCGTATCCCTATTGTTCTTTGAACATTGTTTGTTGCTGCAAGATGTAGTATATGAAGTTCTATTAATTCTTTTTAGGGTCAATATAGTTACATGGGCCGTAATGCGAAAAAAAAGAAAAAGAAAAATGGAAAGCCCATTGTGTATGAGACATGCCTGAGCTAGATACTATGATACATGGCATCAAGAAATTGTAGTCCGTGAACTGAAAAACTTAAATTGAAAAGTTAGATCCTGTATCATTTAGTAGAGAAATAAAATGACTTTGTATGACTAGATTAGTGAATGCATTGAAAAAAAAAAGGTACCTATGATTGCTTATGTAAAAGCAATCCATAGCTACACAGCTAGAATTGCATCCATGTGTTTATGATAAATAAGGTAGCTGGAGAGTGAAGAAGATGCTAAGGAAAAGACAAGCTCCTTAAGTGGTTATGAGTATTTTCAATCAAAGAATACACATGATTTCAAGAAAACCAGAAAGAAAATAGAATGTTTTTACATGGTCATCTTCTGGATAAAATAAATCTGACTCACAACTAGGATTTGAAGATTCTTAGTTATTCCCTCTTTCAGCTCACTTTTTCTCTCCTCCTTTGTGTGTGTGTGTGTGTGTGTGTTTTCATTTGAATGTTGTTTGCCTCACATGAACTTTTACTTAATTTGGTTGTTTCCAGACATCTTTTCTACAATACCAAGATGCATTAGGGTTCTATCCCACTTGAAGCTACACTAGTTATATTTTTTTCCTGAACAACTGAGTGTAGCAAAAACTTTTATATATGTGTGTGAGTCACAACTGTATGGTCAACATCACTTCTGAAGGAAACTATGTCACGCTAAAATTTGTGTGTACCTATTTTATGGTTGCATTATTTTTCCACAACATGGCATCAAGAAATTGTAGTCTGTGAACAGAAAAACTTAAATTGAAAAGTTAGATCCTGTATCATTTAGTAGAGAAATAAAATGACTTTGTATGACTAGATTAGTGAATGCATTGAAAAAAAAAAGGTACCTATGATTGCTTATGTAAAAGCAATCCATAGCTACACAGCTAGAATTGCATCCATGTGTTTATGATAAATAAGGTAGCTGGAGAGTGAAGAAGATGCTAAGGAAAAGACAAGCTCCTTAAGTGGTTATGAGTGTTTTCAATCAAAGAATACACATGATTTCAAGAAAACCAGAAAGAAAATAGAATGTTTTTACATGGTCATCTTCTGGATAAAATAAATCTGACTTACAACTAGGATTTGAAGATTCTTAGTTATTCCCTCTTTCAGCTCACTTTTTCTCTCCTCCTTTGTGTGTGTGTGTGTGTGTGTTTTCATTTGAATGTTGTTTGCCTCACATGAACTTTTACTTAAGGGTTATTTGGAGTGTCCTAAATAAGTGTACTTTTTGTCTTTTTGGACTAAAAAATTAAGGTTGAAAATATGGATGTTTGGATTAACTTTTTGACTTTTTATGAAAAAATGTGTAATAAAAAATTGTAAAAATTGATTTGTAGGGAAGGGGAAAATTAGGATTGGGAGTTGTGCAGCCGTAATTGTTGACTTTTGGTGAATAGTGTTAACTTTTTAACTTTTTGAGTAACTTTTTGACTTTTTAACTTTTTTACAAGTTCCCAAACTTGGCCTTAATTTGGTTGTTTCCAGACATCTTTTCTACAATACCAAGATGCATTAGGGTTCTATCCCACTTGAAGCTACACTAGTTATATTTTTTTCCTGAACAACTGAGTGTAACAAATACTTTTATATATGTGTGTGAGTCACAACTGTATGGTCAACATCACTTCTGAAGGAAACTATGACACGCTAAAATTTGTGTGTACCTATTTTATGGTTGCATTATTTTTCCACAGGTCTGTAGCTTTTCTGTAAAACTCAGTTTTCTCATTTTTATTGATCAAATTCTCAGAAGTTATTCTTAATCTCAAATTTATTTATTTTTCTCATTTGTTAGTGTAAGAATTTATGTATTATTGATTGATTGATGATTGTTACAAGATTGATTGATTGATATTTTTGTGTTGTATCTATTACAATTACAAGGATTCCTATTATATAGGAGTGTGTTTGGGAGTAGGTCGAGAGTAGGTGAAGTGGAGGTGGTAGTGGTGTAGTGGGCTAGGTTTAGTGGAGTAGGTGAGGTGGTAGTGGTAGTAGGTTTATGATAAATTCTAACAGTTAGCTTTATGGAACATCAAAAATTTTACGCAAACAGGTTGTTTGGACAAGGTTTTCTTTTTACTCATTTTTTTTTTGGTGATGTCTGAAGTTGTATTTATTCATTGAAATCCATAAATTTGAGGTCTAATCATAGGGATTTCGTAAGGTTTCTGAATACAGGAGCCATTGCTGTTTTTTATTTTATTTTTCAAAAATAGTTAGTGAGTGCACATTTCTGCAAGCTGCACATGTTCCAAAATTGGCATATCTTGTGGTGACCCAAGATTCGAGAGCCAAGACTCCTTAGACTTTGGGCCAAGATGGATGAGGGCAAAGGTGCCAAGTCTATGTACTTTGTCTCACATTGCTTGGTGAAGTGTGTGAAGTGTTGGGCTTTGGACTGTCATTGCGCAATGTGTTTTAAAGCTATACTGCCCTAGCTTGAAGTGGACAATATTAAATGATGTTGGGCCAAGGCGGTAAAAATGGTTTTAGAGCTAGCACCACCCAAAAATGTGGGGCAGGTCCTACATGAGGACGTGTGGCCCTAAGGGGGGTGGGTTGTGGTGATCCAAGATCTAAGAGCTAAGACTTATGAGGCTTGGAGCCAAGACTTATGAGGCTTGGGGCCAAGATGGATGAGTTGAGGTGAAGGTACCAGGTCCATGTACTTTGTCGCACATTGCTAGGTGGAGTGTGTGAAATTTCCTTGTGAGTGATAGTTTTTTACCATTATTGTACAATAATGTGTTAAAAAGACTTGTGGGCCTAGCTTAAAGCGGACAACGTGCAATGTGGGGCTTGGGCATTACATACCTACACCTTGTTAAGTTCTAATAATCAAGTTCAAGTGAAAATCTATTTTCTAATTGTAAATCCAGCTCAAAATGTCATATATAGTATTCATTATGATGAAAAACTGAGAACCAGACATTATTAGATTTTTGTTATTTTTTTGGATCACTAGATTTTTTGTTCATGATATTTACCTTGTGTTTGCCGTGCAGGGCTGCATAACTTCCGTTCCAAAACATTCTCTTGATGTTGTCCCAATTCAAATCATATGTCAAAATGAGATATATTTTGGTGAAAAGGAATATGACGGTATTCAGGTTGTTAAATCTTTGTGGAAAAATGCTTTCCATGTAGCTGAATCTGCAAAGTCTCATCCACCGAGCATGGCAAAATATCAGCAGAACTTTTCTTTGTTGATACAAGAGGTTTTAAGGAGCTATCCTCGTCTTTTCAGCCATGATGAAAAGATTTTCTTGGGTACTGGTTTCTTTAGTTGATGTCATTATTTATGATCTTTCTAACAAATTATCAACTTACGATGATGTTAATACGTTTTCTGTTGACAGAAACTTTAACTTCACTTTCAGATGATAGCCAGAGACTTTTTGTTCGGCTGTATACAAGAAAAGGTTTTATATTGTTGTACATTTTTCCTGTTCTGTTGTTTGGTTGTCTAGTTAAATATATCATGTTCGCAAGTTATCCATTCTCACTTCTTAGCAATTTTATAGAAAGAGAAATAACTTGAGCCGTTTCGCTTTTATTGTGGCTTGCTCATGCCATGAAGCTTGTGTATTGTCACGGTTTTCCATTTATATCACTCTGATAGCATACAGGATTGTTAACAAAATCTGAGAAATTTGGAATATTCATTTATGGTAGGATGCTTACGATTTACAGATGTAACAAACTAATTCTAAGTTCATGCAGACTAAACATTTATGTTTATAATACCAAGACATTTTTAATTTATAGGAGCAACTATGTGATATTTCACGTAATATATTTGTATATCAGAAGTAACAAAGTAATTTGAAGTTTCACCCATATCTAAGCTAGCAATTAGCCATCCGATATCATAAAGTTATTCAAGTTCAACTTAACTATGTTTTGAAATGTGTTACCATTACAATTAGTGTTACGTGGACTTTTTTTTATTTCCCCCAGAGCACCCGTGTGGCGTGTCCACCGAATATAATCAGGGTAAGGTTGTGGGACATGTGTCTGACACATGTACCGATTTAGACACTTGGATACTCTAATTTATATAATGTTTGAAGAAGAAAAATTCACATTTGCTAATAAAGAAATATTTCTTGCCTCATACGACTGATGAGAGAAATTTCATATCTTTCTTGTACTTTATTTAATGTCAAGTACATTTCTAAATAATTTGCATTATCTTATCGAAGAATATTCTACATTATGCAAAATATGCAGTGTTTAGGACATGTATCCATACCAACACCCAACTTTGGGATACGTATCGCAATATCCTAAGATTTATGTTTAGTAAGGTTTGATGCTTGGGTGTATTTGTTTCGTACTAAAAGTTTTTTAAGACATTTCACCAAATAGTGAGTACTCAATTTGACACTAAGATTAAGATCCTTCATAGTGATGGCGGGACAGAATACATGGATGGTGCCTTTTGCACCTATGTTGATGGTTCATACTATGGCTGCAGATGAACTGAGTCAAGCTGAGTTCTAAAGGATTCCAAGGTTGGCTTGGTTCATTTGGATGGTGTATTTGAACACCTTTAAAATCTATTTTGGTTGCACCTAGCTTGCTTTAGTTTATTTGAGCTTCAGCTACAATCTGATGCTGAAGTCAATCACAATAAAGAACCGTACAGGGCTTTCAGTTGCTGAAGTACTTTACCGGGGAATTCTTTTTTTTTTTTATTTTAAGGAGAGGACTTTTCATTCAATTCCCTTTGTTTCCATTAAAATATATATTTTTTTGGAGGCATCATTCAGACCTAAAATTTGTTACATCGCATACTTTTTCACCACTTAGCTGAGGGCCAGGGCCAAGAGGCAATTTAACAAGCACTGCAAAATGACTCTACATAGAGTGAAGACTAACATGGTCTTGATTTCACTCACAATCAATGGAACTAATCAAAGATGGAAAAAATGATACGAGAGATTTGTTCGAATATATATTAGAATTATTTAGATTGTTGTTTCTTTATTTACATTATTGTGATTCCGTTAATTAGTTCCTTAGCTCCTTTGTAACAGTTTTTTGATTGATTAATATATAAGGGAGTGAGATAATAATCATCGCTCAAGTTTGTCTTTCATCAAATAAACATGGTATCAAAGCCTTAGGGTTCGTTTCTTACCTCTCATCACCAGACGTCAACACCTATCGTCACCAAACACCAACCGATAGCACCAATCATCACTCTACAACATTCGGAGGTCACCCATCACCATTCGACTCCACCAAGGTGAGTTTCGGGCCTCTATCATGCCCAGTTAGGGGTTAGGAACCAGCCTTGGTCCTCTTCGTGTCTCACCTAGTTCTTGGTCCTCATCGTTATTGACCCATACTCTTTCAATCTTCATTGAGATACACTCATCCACCTCTGGAGTGACTAGCGATCTCGACTGGCCCATCTGGATTGACCTATGGCACCATCCAACTCCTTGGGTCTGCCTCTCGACTTCACCTAGTCCCACAGGCCTCTTTGATTAGGCCTATGGTGTGAGTAAACCATCTGCTCTTTTTTTCAGTTAGAAGAATCCTTTTTTGTTTGTTGAATTTCTTCCAATCACTGTTTTGATTGAAGATTTCTCTTCTCTATTTGTTCTTTATTTATCTGGGTCAATTTATGGGCCCTAATACTCAGCTTTGACTGATTTTGCCCATGGCTGTGATTGATATTGCTTGGTCCAGTTGATTTCAATTCATTCCATCTTTCGATCATTGTGATTAGTGCAGAATTTTTTGGTTGTGATAGTAGAGTATAAATGGCTAACCTAACTTGTCTAGTGAATCTACCACTACTTTTCACCCATCTAAAGTAGAGAGTCCCATTATGACTACCACATTTGAGAACCAAAATCCTAGCCTCAAAATCACTGCTTCTTTATTGAATGGTCAGAATTACCTTACGTGGCTGTAGTCTCTGACATTTTTCTTCAAGAGTAAGGGAAAGATGAGTTATATTGATGGGCGAGTCCAAGCATAAGGAATCGCCGATCCTAGTTATAACCAATGTGAGATTACCAACTCCTTGATTATGGGATGGCTTATACATTCCATGGTTCCGGATATTGGTTGGGCTACTTGTCCATGGAGATTGCCCAGGATATTTGGGATGTTGTGGCCACTACTTAGACTGGCCTGATCTAGAGGACGTGGATCTAATTTCGGTGCCCATCAGTCTAGTGAAGTTGACTCACATGTCTCTGCTTTGGGTGTTCAGTCGGGTAATCTGGGTGTTCAGACTTCTGATGCTATGTCTAGTATGTCTACTTCTGAGTTTGAGGATGTTTTGTGTCACTTGTTAGATCGCCGATCCTCCACTACTCCTACAGGTGCATTTTCCTCTTCGTTTGCCCACATAGGTAACTTAGCATCTTCTTCTAGTGCCTTTCTGTCTCATAAGTTTTTACCATGGATTATTGATTTTGGTGTCTCAGATCATATATCTGGGTCATCTAATCTTTTCTCGGACTAGAAACCCGTTTCTGGTCAAGACAAAGTTAGGATTGCAGATGGTATTATTTCTTCTGTTTCTGGGAAAGGTTTAATCCGTGCCACTCTTTCTATACCTTTGTCATCTGTTTTACATGTTCCAAACTTCTCTGTTAATCTTTTATCATTGAGTTGTCTTACTCGGGATTTGAACTATAGTGATTTTTTTCCCTGATCATTGTGTTTTAGGACCTTATCACGAGGAGGACGATTGGCAGTGGTAGAATGGAACACGGTCTTTATATCCTGGATCAGACAGACTAGCTGGCTCATCATTCCGTCTAGCTTCCAACCACCAAGGACGACTTATGGCTGTGACATTGGCATTTTGGACATTCGTCTTTTTTATTACTTAGGCATTTATTTCATCCTGTTTTTACTAAAATAATGTTTCTTAGTTTCATTGTGAGTCATGTCAACTTGGCAAACAACGCAGAGCTTCTTTCTTTTGCTCCGAGTCTTAATAGAAGTTTAGTACCTTTTTCCTTAATACATTTTGATGTTTAGGGTTCATCTCGTGTTGCATCTTTGAAAGGTCATAGATGGTTTGTTACTTTTATAGATGACTTTTCTCGTACTACTTGGATGTAGCTGACGAAAAAAATAGTGATTTTTTTTTTTTTTTCCAAAGTTTTCATAAAATGATTGGTACTCAATTTGGTGTAGCAGTAAAACTCTTGCGTTTTGATAATGGGGGTGAATATTTTGATTTAGGGTTAGCGAGATATTTTTCCACACATGGCATTGTCCATCAGCCTTCTTGCACCAACACCATTCAGCAAAATGGGGTTGCCCAACACAAGAATCGTCATCTTCTTGATATAGCTCGCTGTATGTGTTTCTTTATGGGTGTACCTTGATCCTACTGGGGCAAGACTGTTCTCACCGCTGCATATCTCATTAATCGTCTTCATACCCAAGTGTTGCAAAAACAAGCTCTGCTCCAAGTTCTCTTAGGTTTCGAGTCTTTGTTTTCTATTTCCCCTAAGATCTTTGGTTGTGTCTGTTTTATCTATAATCATTCCCCCACTCGGAGTAAGTTGGATTCTCGCTTTCTCAAGTGTGTTTTATTGGGGTACTCGCCAACTCAAAAGGGGTACAAGTGTGATCACCGTCCATCTCGTAAGTAGTTTGTCTCAATAGATGTCACCTTCTTCGAATCCTAGTCCCACTTCTTGTCTTGTTCGGTGTCACAGTCATCCCTTCAGGTGGAGTCTTGGAAAGAAGAGATTCCTGTTGCCCCTGGATCATTACCAATTGAGGAGATTGTCCAGGGTGAACCAAATGTTACTAGCAATACAAAATCTGGTATGTCATCAAGGACATGGAAGGGCAAGTTTGTCAGGGACAAAGAAAGATAGAAAGTCATTTGGATGCAGGAGACCATTTTTGATTAGCCACTGCTGTCTTCTTCTGCTGATGAGAGTCTAGGTAACCTTCGTGTTTCCCTTGAGTCCACTGATATTACTATACCTAAGCATACTGATCTTGATATACCTATTGCCAAACGAAAGGGTGTAAGATCTTGTACTCATCACACTATCTCTAACTTTGCATCCTTGTCTTATTTGTCTTCCTCATATAAAGTCTATGTCAAAAATTTCCTCTATTAATATACCTAATCAGTGTCAAAAATTTCCTCTATTAATATACCTAATCAGTTTCAGGATGCTCTTGCTATCTCTGAGTGGAAACTTGCCATGGTAGAGGAAATGAAAGTACTTTATAAGAATGACACTTGGGATTTGACTAAATTGCCTAGAGGCAAACGAACTGTGGGCTGCAAATGGGTGTATACTGTAAAGCACAAGGCGGATGATTCAATTGAGCGGCATAAGGCTCGACTTGTGGCAAAGGGTTTTACTTAAACCTATGGGGTGAACTACCAAGAGACATTTGCTCTAGTTGCAAAGAGGAATTCAGTCAGAGTTCTTCTCTCTCTAGCAGCTAATCTGGATTGGCCACTTTATCAGTTTGATGTGAAGAATGCTTTCCTGCAAGGTGACCTGAAGAAGAGGTGTATATGGACATTCCTCTTGGCTTTGAACCTCTTCAAACTAAGGGGAAGGTGTGTTGACTTCGAAAATCATTATATGACCTCAGACAGTCCCCTAGGGCTTGGTTTGAGAGGTTCACTCAGGCGACGTTGAAACATGGCTTCAAATAGAGCCAGGCTGATCGTACTCTGTTTGTTAAACACTCCTCTCATAGTAAGACTACAACTCTCATTGTATATGTGGATGACATAGTGCTTACAGGAGATGATGTTGAGAAAATTCCTTTGTTGAAGAAGTGTTTGGCAAGTGAGTTTGAAATCAAATACTTGGGGAACTTGAAGTACTTTTTGGGGATTAAAGTGGCTAGATCCAAAGATGGGATTTTCATCTGTCAGAGAAAATATGTCCTTGACTTGTTGAAGGAAATAGGGATGCTTCGAAACAAAACCTGTGACACACCACTAGAACCCAATTTAGTGATGATAGTGGAAGAGCAACCGTTGATAGGGGGAGTTATCATAGACTAGTTGGTAAACTCATTTACTTATCACATTCTCGTCCAGATATTGCTATTGTTGTTAATGTGGTTAGCTAGTTCATGTATGCTCCTCATAAAATACACTTGGATACAATTATGAGAATTTTGAGATACTTGAAATCTTCTCTTGGAAAAGGTCTTTATTTTTGCAAATCTGATCTCTTAATGTGAAAGCTTATATAGATGTTGATTGGGTAGGCTCAGTAACTGATAGGAGTTTCACTTCAGGGTATTGTTCTCTTGTTGGAGATAATTTGGTTACTTGGAGAAGTAAGAAACAGAATGTGGTTGCCAGGTCTTGTGTAGATGCTGAGTTTAAAGCTATGGCACAAGGTGTGTGTGAGCTCTTGTGGATCAAGTTATTGCGTGATCTAGGAATTGGCCAGACAGATTCCATGCGGCGATATTGTGATAATAAGGCTGCTATCAACATAGTTCACAATCCGGTTCAACATGACAAGATAAAGCATGTTGAGATTGATTGTCACTTCATCAAAGAGAAGCTCACTAGTAGTGGCATAATATGTACTTCATTTGTGAAGTCTGGTGAACAACTTGCAAATATCCTCACAAAGAGAGTTGGAAGTAAACCTTTTCATGATATTCTTGCGAGAGATATCTTTGCACCAGTTTGAGGGGGAGTGTTAAAATATATGTTAGAATTATTCTTATTGTTGTTTCCTTATTTAGATTATTGTGATTCCCTAAATTAGTGCCTTAGTTCCTTTGTAACAGTTTTTTGATTGATTAATATAAAAGGGAGTGAGATCATAATCATCCCTCAAGTTTGTCTTTCATCAAACAAACAAGATTGTGAAATAGGAAAGTGGTCAGTGGAGTCTTGCAAAGGAGAGTACGGTATGAATCCAAATAGAATAGGAAACCCCTATTCCAAAACGTAATAATTAGATTCAAGTGGTATCAATCTCATGCCAAATTACATGTGTCATCTTACTGGGTTTAGTCAACTCTTGCCTTCCTTCTTGGACTTGTCCTCCTTTAAACCAGTTTCTTGCTTTCCTTCTTGGACTTGTCCTCCTAAAAACCAGTTTTTCATATTCTTGTGCTAACCTTAGCAAACTTGCACTTGTTGTACCATGTTGTGACTTCATGAGACAATCCAAGATGAACTGGAGTTGCTCAAAGTCGGTTAGTTTTTACAAGAAGTATAAAGTGGGAAAAAACTGGCTATTTAGCTAAGAGTGAACTGTGCATGAGCTGTTTGGTTTATTCTTCATGCTGAATTCTTCATTTGTTCTATATGCTTGGAAGTGGTTCAAATGTTCATGCACCGGCATAACCCAAACATAATCTGAGAGTTATCTCTCATTCTGAGTTATGTAGTGGTTTTCTCATTTCAGGGCCATGGTTTCGGATTTCTAATATTTTCTACCCCGAAATATCTGATTGCAACCAAGCATTCAAGGAACTCTCTGGTAATTCAATTCTATTACTTAATTATACGTCTAATCTCTTATCTTGCCAAAATTTCAAGTTGGCTATATTTGATAGCAACTTCACCTTTAACAGAAAATTCATTTATCTTGTCATAATACAGCAACGGGCTATATTCGTTCTGTTGGGTCCATCTGTGACCTACAGGATAATGACTTGAAGGAGGTTCTAAATGTGCTTACTGTTTCTGAGCTACGTGAAATTTTGTGTAAGCTTAAAAAGGTTTGCATTTGTTAAACATATCTAACCCTGAAATTACAGTTAAATTGGTTTCTATTATGTATGTATTCATGTTTATGTTATTGGTTTGACTATTGAATTATTATGCTTGGAAGATTAACTTCACAACCAGTATTACATCACCCCTTGGATTTGTCCTCTTTGAGATGAATGTGTGCACTAGCAACATTTGATTATCTGTTCTTTCGAAAAAGTGAGTATTTTATTACCAGTATGTTTAGACAAATGTTCATCATTTTGTTATTGCCTAGAACTGTGTAATATAGTTTCTTGATAATTTTCTTGATGGCATGAATATTGTCATGGTTTATCTCTGTCTGTTGAGTTTGGACTATTTGGCCCATTTTTCAAGCAAGCATTCACAACCATTGAACTTCATTATTAGTAACAGATGTGGTCTACTCAGCAGGTATGAGAGAAACCTGTTGACCCGCATTGACTTGCTCCTCACCCCCTCTTTTCATGGTCGGACGACTGGATGGAGCAGAAGGCCAGTCGCTGGACACCCACTGTCCACCGGCAACCGAGCTGTTCTCGTCCTATTCACCACCAACTTCTATTCTTCTCTATTTCATCTTCTTCACCCCTTCTTTCTTTTTAATGAGAAAGATCTGTTCCTGTTTTATTTTGTTCGTTATTTATCTTTACTGTTTTATTTTGTTTGTTATTTATCTTTGTTGCCTTTTTTTTTTTTTTTCTTCATTTCCTTTCTCTCCCCTGATCAGATTCTTCTTATTTTGGTACCAAAAAGTTTAAGGCTCTGTTTGGTTGAGTTTTCTGAATAAGAAAGTTCTAAAACTAGGTTGGTGAAAAAATAGAAACACATTATTTTCATATGGCTTTTTGTAGATTGTAAAAATTTAAAAATATCCCTTTTTGTGTGTTTATTTTTGTCAAACTAGTTTATAATTTAAAAAAAAATTCAGAAAACTAAGTTCTGAAAACTCAACTGGACAGGGCCTAGATTTTTTTAATGGTTTCGACCATTAAAAAAGTGAAATGCTGTTAAAGAGTTTTAAATCTTGAATTTTAGATTTTTCCATTAAAACTAACTGTTTGATGAAATTCCACAGAAGACTGGGATATACTTTTATTAATTCAATCTCTAGTCCACTTGTGCGATAGGAAAACTGTATGTCTGCTGGTTATGATTTGCTATCCTATTCTGAGAAATCCCATCTCATCGAGCCAACCTAATGTGACCAAAAGAGAATATTTGTCTTCAAGTTGTTTTTAATGCACACATGTACTCAGTGGAGCATTATGGGTGGTTCCTTCTAAATTTGATTGATTCCATAGTTTATGCTCCTAAAGTGTTGCACTGGCCTCTGATGACTACACACTACAAGATTACTGTGTGGACAGATACGGGTCAAACATTTCTTGAAGGCTGCACTCTCTCACAAAGGGTTGGGACACTCTTAGAAATGTAGTTGTAAAGTTGTTAGAGCAGTGTTATAAAAGGCGCAAGGCTCGTCCAGGAGCAAGACCAGTATCTTGCACATGATCAGGCGACACGATTTGAAGGAAGCACGCCTAAGGTGCTCAACTGGGTGAGGTCGTGCGCCTGATGGGCTTTGTTTTTTTGTTGAGATTTGACCATTGATTTAAGTTAATATATGAGGGATTACAACTCTTAATTACACAAGCCATTACAGAGTACATTTAACCTGATTTTCATGATAGAAAACCCTAACTAGGCGCTGAGCAGTTTTTTCAGTGACTTGGTTATTTATTTATTTATTATTTTTTTCCCTATCGTGATTGGTGCTGAATGTACTCTGTATATTAAGAGTTGTAATCCCCCTGCACCATATTTTAACTTAAATCAATTGTCAGATCTCAACAAAAAACAAAGCAATGTGAAATATAAACAGTGCCCATCAAGTGCATATATTGCGTCTCACCCAGCCACTTCCTTCAGATTGTGTTGCCTGGCCATGGGCAAAGTGCTGGTCTTGTGCTTGGATGCGACTTGTACCTAGGTGTGCCTTCTATAACGCTGCTAAGGATCAAGTAATATAAAAAAGAAAGTTTAAATCTGAAGTAAAACTTTTTAGTAGTATAGTAATATGTTAGCATGACATGATTTATGCTTGTGACTGCTTTTAATTGTCTGGCTACTTTTGAGAAATTGCTTCGCTGGCATCACTTTCCTGAGCTTGGTGCAGGCTTTATGGAGCTTGATGAGGCAGACCTTAGCTAGACTGCTTGCTAAATTCCTGCATCCCACCTATTTTTTGACCATGTTAATTTTAAACAGGAGCATCCCTTCAAAGCTAATGGGAGAATTAGGCAGGCAGTATGGATTTGTCATTTTGGTGTATTGACTAAATTTTTTGTGGCGTATAATTTGATTTTTGTAGAAATATGTTTCTACGGTACCTGTCTGTGTTATAACATTGAGTTCTCATTCTAGGCAAACATATATTTATTGAAGGACTAACATTTTTGCTTTAAGACAAGTTCGGTCTCTGCCACTGGACTTCCTGAGTAAAAAAAATTACTTTTAGCAATAGATAAAATTCTAACTTTCTAGTCATGAATTTGTGTTGTTATTTAAAAGCACTCATGGTTTGTACTTTTTAATTTGTCATCTGATAAGTTTTTAACTTTTCTTTTCTTTGGCTTGTACTCTTTGTTTCCTTTTCCACCCCGCTTCTGTTGAGTCATCAGAAATGCAATTTTGGTTCAAGAAAGCAAGATTTTATTACATCACTTCTTTCTTCATACGCGGATGGATTATGGTATACAAGTTTTTCTTTTCCGATTTATTGAGTTTGTGAATTGATAGGGCATGTCAAGTTCTGTATTTATTGTTTTTGGTTTTCATTTGTTGATTATGCAGCCCAGTCCTACCAAATGTGGTTTTGGAGAAAACAGGAACATGTATTCAGATATCTTCATCAGCTGAATCCCTTATTTGGCGTGCTGAGGTGATTGATCAGAACTTTGTGACAAGTTGGAATCCAGTATATAATTTTACTTATGAAAAATCATGCATGAATTTTGTTGCTTCATACAGAGGCTTTTCTTCCTGAATGGAGAACAGGATTTGTCAGCATTTTTACTTGTGGATTTGGGGATTGTCAAGTATCCAAATTACAATTGTATAATCTCAAACCAAATTTTCTCAAGCCGCAATGATTTGCTTGCCTATGAAGAGGTATGGGCAAATATTTATATAAAAAACTACACCCAGTTTAGTCCCCATTTGATGTATTGACATATTTCTATCTGGAATATTATTGTTGCCTGTACTGATTGTAACATTTACCTGTGCAGGCCATAGAAGTGGCACAAATAATGGATCAGTCTATTGACAAAAATAACAATGAGTTGGTTTTAAGATGCATAGAGTTATCTGGCTCCCGTATATCCAACTCTTCTAGTAGAGCAACTCAATCATCAACTTCTGAATCACTGGTGACATGTTTCTCATGCTTTTCAGCTTTGTGGGTCTACTCAAAGGTGGTTTTGCTAGGTGTCTCTTTTCTTGAGTGTGAGCGAAGGTTAGAATTATGGCCGTGGTTTATTACTTTTTTTAATGCTTTTATTCTAAACAATGATAAGATCTTTCGTGTGACATTTTCCTTCTGCTTTTTCTGTTTTCAAATTCTATTTTTCTTTAGTTTCACTTGAATAATAGTGGCTTCCATTTTAATCATTTTTGTTGGCTTCATTTTCGTCTCAGCCAATTAGAACTAGGATATTTTCTATGGACAGTCATTGGTGCACATTAGTATGTAATAAAAGTTAAATAGATGAAGAATGGGACTAAAAAATTCAGTTCGTGTAATTCCTTTCCCCTGTAGGCTCCACACACACACACACACACAAAAAAAAAAAAAAGTAAAAGAAAGAAAAAAGAAAAAAGAAAATAATTGCTAACAGTTGGTAGGTTTCTATATCTGCTTAAGTTGTCAGTTGCCCAACTTTGAAACTGCTGCATGTTTTGTCCTTTGCTGTTGCTTTTTTTGATTCATGTCCTTTGCTGTTGCTGATCCTAAATGTGAGAGGCAATTGATGAGGAAAAAGGGGAAGATAGCAATAGACAGAAGCATTAGAGAACAAATTTTCACTCTCAAATTTATCATTAATTAAAAATTGAAGGGAAGGAAGAAGAGAAGGGAAGAGTAGAGAAGAAAGAATGTAAGACAAAATAGGGGATTTTTGTATGAGATAATGAACTCATCCAACACCCATGTATTTAACATTTGATGGAAATAATAAGTGAAGAGAGCAAAACAAAATAGGGTTTTTGGTTTGAGATAATGAACTCATACCATCATCCATGTATTTATATTTAATAATCGCATAAATTTCATTGTACCTTTATCTCAAAGAACAATAATAAAGCTAGCAAGATAACAAAACAGGCACGTAGGACAAGGAAATCTCAATCGGAATAGTATTCAACTGTTTGTCTCGCACATGCTGCATTATTGCATCACTACACTATGGTTGTGTTTGGAGCATGGATTTGGAAAGAAAAAGGAAAAGGTAGGTGAAATGTGAAAGAAATATACCTACATTTCACACACCTTTTCCTTTTTCCCTTCCCTTTTCAATCCGTACTCAAATCCATACTCCAAACCTTCAATACTTGAACCCAAATTCTCATTCATGTCATGGATTTACTGAGGGGGTTGGCTGGGGACATGGTGCCCCATAAATGCAAACGATGTAGGGTGCCCTAGTATTCATGCAACTTTGGCCTTCAATGCACAGGCCTCTGTCCTTGTTTAAACTTTATTCCCAAAGCGGTTTAAAAGGTTTTAATTTTATTCCCAACTTTGGACCTTCAACTTTCTTTGGGAATAAAATTTAAAAAATAGATATTAGAACTTTTAATTCACACTTCTTTCCCAACATAATAGAAGTGGGAAAATGATTTCTTCCTTGTTTAATATAATAAAATATTAATGTATTTGTAACTTAAAAAAATGAAATTGTTATTTTCTTGTATATATAAAAATGTAAATTTGGTTGTTATCGCGTCACCACTGTGTCCCTGTCTAGATTTTTTGAAAATTACCATATTCAATAAAACCCTAGGAAGCCAATCACTTCTCTTTTTTCTCTTCCATTTTTATGATAACGACAAAAGCTTAAAGTGCCAATAATAAAAAAGAAAACCCAATGAACACAGGAGATTGCGGTCGATTCTAATAATCTGCTAGATATTAATGAGGGTTCTATTCTTTGCATCCAACTTGTTGCTTGTTAAATAGTCTCTGGACTGGATAATTGTTTACCCTTCTCAGGTACAACGATGCAATTAATTTATTGAAGCAGCTGCTAATTAATTTTACGTCTGATGGAAGAAGAGGATATTGGACTTTGAGGTTGTCAATTGATTTGGAGCATCTGGGTTGTCTCAATGAGAGCCTTTCGGTTGCTGAAGATGGGTTACTAGATCCATGGGTTCGTGCTGGTTCCAGAACAGCATTGCAAAGGCTGGTGTTACGATTGGGAAAACCACCGAGGCGCTGGAAAACTCCCAGTTTTTCTGAGTCTGTCAAGAGGAAGATCACTGAGGTGGTTGCGAATTTGATTTTTTAAGGGTTGTGTTTTTAAGCTTTCTCATGCTGATTAAACTTGAGTCATCTTATGTCTATGGGTTTTATCAGGGGTGATGTGCAAACATGAATGCTTATCTAATTGCGGCTCTGATTATTTTTCATTTGTTGATAATTTAGGTGCATGTTCAGGGGAGACCATTGAACTGTAGGACTGGGATGAAGAGCAGGTTCTATGGTGAAGATGGAGAACAATGCGGAGTTGAGCAGCTTGCTATGCAATATTATTCCGGAGAAGGAGGTGGGTGGCAGGGTGTACATACAGAGAGTGGCATTTGGTTGACTATTTTTGGGCTTCTTTTGTGGGACATTATTTTTTCCGATGTACCAGATGTCTTTCGCACTAGATTTCAGGTACTTCATGGTGAGAAAATTACCATAGCTCTTGTTGTTGCTTTGCTTTTTTGATGAAGTTGATGCTTATCGTCTTTGTGGTCAGATGACTCAGATGGTTCTTAGTTGTGGCATATACATTTGAAGTGAATGTATGTTACTTTTCTCTGATGCACTTCATACTATATTCATCTATCCAGTCATGGTATTCCCTTTTAGATTTGGAGATAATCTGAAATGGAGCTGTCAAGCCTCATTTATTTTTTCTAGATGGATCACCTAGCTTCTTTTACTTAACAAAAATGAGGTAACTTTTTAAGAGTAAAGCACTTTAGTAGGTGTCAAGCTCACATGTTTGTTTTTTCTTTCAAGTATGTTTCAACTCCCAAAATTTAATAAATGGACTTTTTTAACGCTGTGGTAGCTGATTTCTTTTATAGAAGAGAATGAAAGAAAGCTTAGAGATGGTTAAAGAGTGAGGAATTAAATATTTTATCTAAATTCTCATGTCTAATTTTATCATTGTTCTTAAGATTACAAATGTTCTTTACGCTTATTCTCATGACACTCTCCCTTAATGTTGGCGCTAGTACAGCTTGTGTGCCTTATTATCTATTTGGTCAAATACCTGGCGACAAACTCCTATGTTATTTTTATCAAAATTGTGTACGCAGTGTGATCTATAATTTGTTACCATTCATGTACTAGATGAACTATGTGATATTACTCCTCATTTGCATTTTTCTAGTAGTAAATCATTGAAATTTAAGTTCGTGAAATACATTTTTTTAAAATTATTTATCAGCTTAATATTGATTTGTTGATTTTAGTCATCTAAATTGGACTTGATCCGACCGCTTAAACTTTCTTATACCTTACTTTTGGTCCCCCCCAATACTGTAATCCTGGTTCCACCCATGGGTGCAAGATATTTAAAGAACAATATTTCTAAACCATGTCTCAAAAATTCATCCAAGGATGTTTAATCAATTTAACTCAAAGCATTTAAGTATGAAATGAAAATATGAATGTCATTCAATAACACCTAGGACGATACATCTTTCTCCCCTTGAAAAGTTGACAAGTAATATATTCTTAATATATATATATATATTTTTTCTCCCTCCTCTCTCTATACATATATCCAATTTACGTACTCCTTGTCAAAAGATTCTTCTATTGCTTCATTTTCAAACTGAGGCCATTCATTTTGCAGACCGGCCCTTTAGATTTGGATACTGATGGGTTTTATGAAGCAAGAAAGAGTCTCCTAGAACCACTACTTGAAAAAATCTATGATGGAATGGCTGAAGAGATCCTTATTACATCATGGGAATCACATTTAGGAACAGCTTGTCGCGGAGTTAACTGGGACCGACATTCACTATCTGAGCTTCGGGCAGCCGTGACATGCATTGGTGGCCCTTGTTTGGCCTCAATCTGCCGGCACTTGGCTCAAGGTTACCGGAGCTGGTCTAGTGGAATGCCTGATTTATTGTTATGGCGCTTCCATGGTGATTATAGTGGTGAAGCCAAGCTTGTTGAAGTTAAAGGCCCCAGGGATCGACTCTCTGAACAGCAGAGAGCTTGGCTGCTGTTTTTAATGGATTGTGGCTTTAATACCGAGGTTTGCAGAGTGAGTCCTGCTTCAGTATCTGGATGAAATCATGTTGTTTTGCTACAAGATTGTTTGTATGAAATTTTATCAAAGAATGGCTGCTAACGACAATTAAAGAGGGCATTCTATTTTGAGAATAAGTGAAGAGTTTACCCTGCAAATTGTGAACATGGTTGGAAATTCTTGCAGAAAGGTGTGTGTTTTCTTTTCCGGAGAAACTTGAAGAAGAGATGTGGAAAAATTCTCAGGTGGCAACTCATGGGCACAACTCTATGTTTTCATGACTTTTCATCTTCTAGAAGGCAATTCGCCTTGGGCATGTTGCCATCGTCGTAATCATTACCATTGCCATTGCCATTGTATTTTATTTTTCAGAAACGTTTTTCATTGTACCAAATGGCCTAAATGGCACCTCGATTGACAGTGTAATGCTAGGATTTATCAAGAATGAGGTGATTACAGTTGACATTCTAGTTATTGTTTCAGAGATCAAGAGCAAGAGCAATTACATGGAGGGGTTGCCAATTCCTATGAGAAATGGGAAGTTAGATATTTGTAAATACTGAAAGTACTTACCAAAAAATACATATAGATTTAGAGTTTTGAATTTAAATTGAATGTTCAATTTAGTAATTCATGCCTGAAGTAGCAATGATCTGATAATTTATTGAATTATGTTAAATGTAGAAGTTCTATTTTTATTTTATTAGTGCTATACAAGTTGAGGTTTTTTTTTTTTATTACAATGTATCTCAATATAATGAAATAGTGAGTTAATAAGTTATACGAGCAGAAAATTTATACAACATTCTTGTACAAAATGATATAGTTGAATTAGGGGCATTCATTTCTATACAAAATACTTGTTAAGATGGCTTTTAAATTTAAAATGTCGTTGAATACTTCACAGACATTTTCTTTTATTTTCAATTAGTTAATGACTCCATCTAAAAGAGCCATATCAATAGAATATTTTTGGATGGTTTAGAAACCTAATCAATCTAAATGGTCATTTTACCGAGTCAGGAAAAAATAAAAACAAAGGGAATGCTTAATTTTTTTTTTTTAAAAAAAAAAAAATCCTAACCTATGTTACTTATAAAATTAATTTATTATTATTATTATTATTATTATTTTATTTTTAACTAGCTATGTTTTAAGCAAGTTGCTTTGATTTTGTCCCGAAAGAAATTGACTTCAAATTAAAAAGATCCACAAATGATGTCTCTTTGCTATAATATAAATATAGATACATATAAAACTATTAAACATCAAGATAAAAAATAGGGAGATTTTTTTGATAAATCCACTTTCTAAGAGTTTTATTCCATCCAACCCATATTTTTTTTGACTATTCCATTAGGTCCTATTTGAGATAAGAAGACCAAAATATTATTTTTATCTACTTATGTTCCATTTAGTTCATATTATTTTCTTATGTTTCAATAAGTCCTATGGGTGACATAATTACCAAAATACCCCTAATGTAAATGTTCACACCGTCAATGTGAATGTTTATATCGTCAATGTGTAGGGGCCCGACCCATGTCGATCCTCGTGGGTGCTCGGAAAAATTCGAGTCGGGCCGGGGCGGGCCCCCCAGCCCGTTGACAATGTGAATATTCATATTGACATGTTAACATTCACATTAATAGGAGTGTAAAATTGGCCTACGTCCCGTGGCGGCGCGAAACCCGCCCACAGCCCGAGGTGGGCCCGGTCCGGCCCATTGACAATGTGAATATTCACATTGACATGTTAACATTCACATTAATAAGAGTATAAAATTGGCCCGCGGTTTGGGACGGGCCCGGCCTATTGACAATGTGAATATTCACATTGACATGTTAACATTCACATTGATAGAAGTGTAAAATTAGTCCGCACCTCATGGCTGCCCGAAACCGGCCCACGGCCCGGGGCGGGCCCGGCCTGTTAACAATGTGAATATTCACATTGACATGTTAACATTCACATTCATAGGAGTGTAAAATTAGCCAGTGGCCCAGGGCGGGCCCGACCCGGCCCGTTGACAATGTGAATATTCACATTGACATGTTAACATTCACATTGATAAGAGTGTAAAATTGGCACGCAGCCCGTGGGTGGCCCGAAGCTTGACCGTAGCCCGAGGCGAGCTTGGCCCGACCCGTGACATTGTGAATATTCACATTGACATGTTAACATTAACATTGATAGGAGTGTAAAATTTGCCCATTGCCCGAAGCTTGCCCGCGGCCCGGGGTAGGCCCGGCCTGGCCCAGGCTCGAGCCTAGTCCGAGACCCTAGACTAGGGCCTGGGCCATCACTTTGAAGCTTGGCCTGGCCCATCAGTCCCGTTAAGGCCTATTCAAGGCTCGGTCCGAGGCCCGGCCCGTGCCGAGACCTAGTGTCTTTTTTTGTGGAAAATAATAAAATCTTGGTAAAAAAATTAAAAAGAATTAAAAAAAAATGGCCAGGCCCGCCCAAGTCCGACCCAAGCCTGAGGCTAGGCCCAGGCCCATCGCCCAGACCCACCGGCTTGGGCCCGGACCCAAACGAGCTTGCCTCAGGTTGTGGGTAGGCTTCGGGCAACCTACGGGCCGTGGGCCAATTCTACATTCCTATTAATGTGCATGTTAACATGTCAATGTGAATATTCACATTGTCAACGGGCCGAGCCGGGCCGGGCCTACCCCAGGCCGCGGTCAAGCTTTGGGCAGCGGGCAAATTTTACACTCCTATCAATGTTAATGTTAACATGTCAATGTGAATATTCATAATGTCACGGGTCGGGCCAAGCCCGCCTCGGGCTTCGGGCCGTCCACGGGCTGCGGGGCAATTTTACACTCTTATCAATGTGAATGTTAACATGTCAATGTGAATATTCACATTGTCAACGGGCCGGGTCGGGCCAACCCTAGGCCGCTGGCCAATTTTATACTCTTACCAATGTGAATATTAACATGTCAATGTGAATATTCACATTGTTAACAAGCCGGGTCGGGCCGGGCCTACCTTGGGCCGCGGTCAAGCTTCGGGCAGCGGGCAAATTTTACACTCCTATCAATGTTAATGTTAACATGTCAATGTGAATATTCACAATGTCGCGGGTCGGGCCAAGCCCGCCTCGGGCTTCGGTCGGGCTTCAGGCCGCCCATGGGCTACGGGCCAATTTTACACTCTTATCAATGTAAATGTTAACATGTCAATGTGAATATTCACATTGTCAATGGGCCGGGTCGGACCAGCCCTGGGCCGCTGGCCAATTTTATACTCTTACCAATGTGAATATTAACATGTCAATGTGAATATTCACATTGTTAACAGGTCGGCCTGGGCCCGCTCCGGGCCGCCCACGGGCCGTGGGCAGGTTTCGGGCAGCCACGGGGCGCAGGCTAATTTTACACTCTTATCAATGTGAATGTTAACATGTCAATATGAATATTCACATTGTCAACGGGTCGGGCCGGGCCGGGCCCCGCCCTGGGCCGCGGGGCGGGCTTTTGGCCGCCCATGGGCCGTGGGCCAATTTTATACTCTTATCAATGTGAATGTTAACATGTCAATGTGAATATTCACATTGTCAACGGGCCGGATCGGGCCTGCCCCGGGCCGCAGGCGAGTTTCGCGCTGCCACGGGACGCGGACCAATTTTACACTCCTATTAATGTGAATGTTAACATGTCAATGTAAATATTCGCATTGTCAATGGGCCGGGCCCGCCCCGGCTCGCGGGCGGGTTTCACGCCGCCCATGGGTCAATTTTACATTCCTACCAATGTGAATTTTAAAATATGAATGTTCACATCATAAAATTGCTAACCGTTCAAAAATTATTTATAAGGGTATCAAAATTAAATATAAGGGCATAAGTGTCTAAGAAAATAGTGTAAATCAAGAAAAAGGACTTTATGGAATAAAATTATACATACATGGGACTAAATGGGTTAAAAAATTCCTTCATGGACTTCTTGGGTTAAAACACTTCTAAATGGGATTTATCAATAAAAATTCCTTGAAAATATTTTAATTTTTTTAATTTTAGTATTTTAAACTCAAAATACAACTCTACACTCAAATCGTAACCAAATACATAACTCAAAATTTAATTTAAAAATTATTTTCAAAATTCATATCCAAATACATAACTCGAAACTACACATTATTTTCAAAACTCCACACTCAAATTATAACCAAACACATAACAAAAAAAAAAAAAAATTAAAATATTTAAAAATATATTTATAAAATAAAGGGAAAATTGGCCTAAGGTCCCTTCCCAACTTTTAATAGGAGGAGAGATACACAATAATATGTTATGATGGCTAAGGTCCCTCAACTTTATTTTATGTTATAAAATACCTAATTTACCCTCGTTATAACATAAGATCGTTTGGATTTTGGCAAACTGCTGACTTCATGGTGAGATTTTGGAAACTGATTTCACGGTAGAGATTTTGTCGGAGATTTTGTAGGGATTTCGCAAGCGTTGCAGTGGAATTCACGATAGAGATTATGACGATCGTGTAGGTGTTACAGTGTGTTGATTGCGTAGGTTTTTCTGTGGAGTTCGATAGAGATTCCAAATGAATTTTTTTATTATTGTTTTGAATTTTATGAAAGGATTCCGATTTCATATTAGTTTTTCGAGTGTATTTTTGCATTAGGTTTTTGTTTTCAGTTTTGATCAATTTAAAAGAGAGGCCAGCTTAGTGAAGTTGTTTATGATTTTTGGGGTTGAATTTTCATTTGCTATTATTGATCAATTTTAGACAGAGGCCAGCTTGATAGAGTTGATTTTTATTTTTGGAATTAATTTTTCATTCTCTGTCTTTTGATCAATTTCAAAGAGTGTTGACAGTGTGGTTGATTTTAATGTTTAGAGTTCATTTTTCATGCTCTGTTTTTCATCAACATGCTGATCAATGATAAGTTTTGTTCTCTATTTTTTCAAACCAGAGAAATTTGTTTAAACCAGAGAAATTTCATTCTCTGCACTTTTGTTGATGTAATCCAGAGAAAATTGTAAGTTTATTATTATAATCCAACAAAAATAACAGAGAAAATTATAAGTTCATATGGACATATTATTAGTTTCTAGTGCAAATAGAATATGAGAAAGTGAATGTAAGTTCTTAAATTTTTCTGGACTTTTATTTGTAGTTGAGAGAAAATTATAAATTTGTTATTCACTTTCAGTTTGTAATTCAGAGAAAATTATAAGTTTGTAAAAAATGAATATAAGTTTTTGTTTCTCTGAGCAAAAGTTATTTTTTGTGTTTTTTCTTTCAGTTTAGATGGGCAGTGCACTGTTTTTAGGGAATCTTGAAGATTTTCTGCACTTTTGTTTGTGTAGTCCAGAGGAAATTATAAGTGCATATATTATTAGAAGTTTGTAATGGAGATAGAATATGAGAAAGTGAATGTAAGTTCATAAATTTCTCTGGACTTGTATTTGTAGTTCAGAGAAAATTGTAAGTTTGTTACTCACTTTCAGTTTGTAGTTCAGAGAAAAGTATTTTTCTGGACTTGTATTCTATGTGATTTTTTTTCTATAATTGTGTTTAATTGTTAGCAGTAAATTTCTCTGTGATTCATTAAGTTTCTGTGATTTTGTTTTTTATCATCTTG